AAGCTGGGGAGGGCTAGCCTCCCACTAGTTCAAATTAAGTGGCTACACAGCCCTTAATTTGAACTACTTAATTCGAACTAGGCATTAGTCTTCGTAGAATGAGGTTTACCTAGTTCGAATTAAGCGCTCCTCTAGTTCGAATTAAGTTCGAACTAGCGTTTTGCCTGTGTAGCACCTATTAAAGTTAATTCGAACTAACGGCTGTTAGTTCGAAATAACTTTGTAGTGTAGACATACCCTGAGTGCCTGCACCAGCCCTAAACCCACAGGGCTCTCTCTCTCTTGGGCATCACACACACACACACACACAAGTTGGGTGTTTTACACACACACACACACACACACACACACACACACACACACACACACACACACACGGTGGGTGTGTGTGCACACACACACACACAGAGGGGCGCTGCGCACACACACACACACACACACACGGAGAGAGCGAGGGGCCCCACGGGACACAGCTCTCGGGGGCAGGCTCCTGAGCTGGGCAGAGGGGGCAATTTGCTGGTACTGGGTCCTGCCATCTCTGGGAACGGCCTGGTGATCTAACTCGGCCCTTCTACTGTAGGGCCTGACTCACTTTGCCGAGAAAAGGAGTTAAAACAACCCCCTTGTGGTCCACATGGGGAAACTGAGGCATGGCAAGGGGTATGATTGTCCCAAAGGCAGTTGGGATACAAGTAGGAAACCCTGCCCCCACGCTAATCACTAGACCCCGCTTCCTGCTCAGAGCCAGGGCTAGAACCCAGATGTCCTGGCTCCCAGCCTTTCCTGCTCTAACCACTAGCCCCCACTCCCCTCCCCAAGCTGGGACCCTTATTCCTCAGTAGGTCTGACTCCCCTGGTGGCCCAGGCTGGCGCTGACTTGGCAGGTTCCTGTCTCTGACCTTGCAGGGCCCTTGGCCTGGAACAGTCGCTTTCTCCCAACTGCGTCTGCTTGTCCCGGGCCCAGCGCTTGCCGGAGCCTAGATACCCCCAAACCTTATCAGGGCCAGGTTATCGGCCTCCTGGAGATTGTGGGCTGGGGGAGGGAGGGATGGGGCTGCAGGCTCCTCACAGGCTGGCACACACACACACACACACACACACACACACACACACACACACACACACTGTGACAAACACACACTGGGACATGCACACACACTGACACAGACAGACACTGGGACATGCACACACACACACACACACACAGACACACACACACTGCGACAAACACACACTGGGACATGCGCATGCACACACACAGACACACACACACACACTGATGTCGACACACTGGGATATGCTCACAAACTGACACACACACACAAACACAGTCACGCTTACAGTCACACACTGGGACATGCACACACATGCACAAATACACATACACTGGCACAAATACACACTGAAATACATATTGACACGCACACACACTAACATGCACACGCACGCGCACAAATACACACTAATACTAACAGACACATGCACATGCACACACACATACCCAATACATACACACGCAGGTGCACAGATACACTGACGTCCATGCACCCACACGTACACACTGATGCACAGAGACACAAACACACACACTGTCACACACGCACATTACCGAGTTGGTTGTGACCGGGGCTGGCCTTACCATGAGGTGAACTGAGGCAGCTGCCTCAGGGGCCACCCAGAGTGCAGGGAGGGGGTAGGGGGGCGTCATTCAAGCTCCCCGCCTCAGTGCCAAAATGTCGTGGGCCGGCCCTGGTTGGGACCCTCCCAAAATGGGCATTGTCCTCACTGGCGTGGCGCCCGGAGGCTTGACCGCTGGCTAAGTGTCAAACCATTCCCAGGCCCAGATGGCTATTTGAAGACATTGTCCCTTTAAGCAGGGCTGCACCGAGCTGGGGCAGTTCTCAGAGGCTGGGCAGCCCTGGGCGGTGCTGCCCCCTGCTGGCCACGCTTCTATGCTGCTCTCTGGCACCCTCCTACCTTCCTCAGTGAGCTGCC